GGCCCTATTCCTGCAAAACTGGCGACGGATCGGCATGTGTCAGCTGCAAAGAGCAGGCCGAGAGGACCGGAGATGGCGACTGCGCAGAATGCAACCCCGGCTACTTCATAGCTCCAGGATCCGGTTGCCAAGCCTACGAGTGCAACGCAACAACAGCTGGCTGCAAGAGTTGTCGAGATCAGAGCGAGAGAAGTGCTCAGAATCAATGTGCAGAGTGCAACTCTGGTCTTGAGCTGACAGATGACTTCATGTGCAAGTCGAGCGATTGCACGGAAGGCTCTGGACCTGCTTGCAAGAAGTGCAGTGATGGTGGCGAGTGCAGTGAATGCAACGTCGGCTACTTCCTCACGGAGGAAAAGATATGTCAGCCTTATAAGTGTGGCCTCGGTCCACCGCCTCTTTGCAAGACCTGTCGGGATGCAGAGAAGACGACGGCAGACAATCAGTGTGAGGAGTGTGCTGCAGGATATCACCTCAGCGAATCCTTTGCGTGTGTTCCCTACTTTTGCGCCACCGGGCCGAACTCCACGTGCAAAACCTGCAAGGTGGTTGAAAAGCGTGTAAAGGATGACGAGTGTGCCTCTTGCAAGGCCGGATACCAGCTTACAGAAGCCGGAGATTGCAGGGCTTTTGTGTGTTCGACTGGCAATGGGTCTACATGCAAGACGTGCCAAGATCAGAGCAAGCGTACGGGCAACTTCCAATGCGCTTCCTGCAATAGTGGCTACACCTTGCAAGAAGATCTGACCTGCAAGCGCAGTATCTGCGAGGTTGGAGATCTCCAAGCATGTAAAACATGCGATGCGGATAGCCGGTGTGCCACATGCAATGATGGTTTCCAGCTTACAGCCAGTCGCACCTGCGAAGCCATTCCATGTGATGTTGGAGATGGTTCCGCATGTGCTGCTTGCATGGAGCAGGAAGAACGGACGAAAGTGAACCACTGTGCCAGTTGCAATCCCGGACACCAGCTGTCAGGGGGCACTTGTGAGGAGTACACGTGCATCAAGGGATTCGGCGATGCCTGCCGCAGCTGTGTCCCTCTGGCAGACAGAACTGCCGACTTCCAGTGCAGTTCATGCAATCCCGGATACAAGCTGGAGGATGGAAAATGTGTTGGGTTTACATGCTCGATTGGCGAAGGTTCCGGGTGCAAGGCCTGCAGAGACCAAAGTGCAAGGACTGCCGATGGCCAGTGCGGTGAGTGCAATCCGGGCTTCGGGCTGACAGAGGACTTCAAGTGCGAGCAGTACACTTGCAGTACAGGCCCGGGTGCGGGTTGCAAGACATGTCGTGCTCCACACACTCGAAGCGCAAATGATCAATGCCTCGACTGCAATCCGGGGCATTTCCTCACGGACGACTTCACCTGTGCTGCCTTCAACTGTGACGAAGGAGGTGGTGCCGCCTGCAAGACCTGCACGGCCCTGGAAGATCGCAGCAAAAACGGACAATGTGCCTCTTGCAATCCTGGCTTCCGATGCGAGCTCAGTTGTTCCATCTGCACATGTCTGCAGCATCAGGTGCGAATGGCCCCAACATGGCAGAACTGAGGCCTACGCGATGACGGCACGTGCAGGCTCTTCACCTGCCGAGCAGGACCGGGGGAACTGTGCAAGGTCTGCAGGGCAGTGGAGTCCCGATCGGCCAACGACCAGTGCGACAGTTGCAACTCGGGCATCCTGGCCTGTGGAAGTTAGAGCCCGTCTTGTGACTGCATATGACTGCATCAGGTTACGGCTGTTATGAGGGGTTGATCCTTTGCCCAGGCTATTTCTTGGATGACGACTCGCGCTGCCGACCTTTCATTTGCAAGGAGGGTTCCGGGAGTTGTCGACGATGCCTGCCCCAGAAGCCTGTCTGGCACAGTAAGTCGGCAGATGTGAGAGCAGCCTTTGTCTTTCAGATTCTTGTAGGACCAGGGATCTTGTAATGTGGTCTCCTGATGAGTAACCCCAACCCCCCTCTCGCTGATCATCCTGAATCCGGAATAGTGGTCGGGGGGTTCGATTTCGGCAAAATCCTAAGTTGTTTGGGGGGGTCGGGGTCTAAGTTGTTGGAAGGTCACCGGTACAGTCATAGTACAGCAGTGCAGTAGCAGTACCAAAGCAGTGCAGTCGTAGTACAGCAATGGTACAGCAGTAGCGCAGTAGTAATACGGCTGGCTGCCTACCTCTATCTTGCCTGTCTTTGTCTCTCCTCTTCCAGGGCGTCAGTTTGTAGTATTTCCCAAATTCTTAAACATTTAAGAGTGAGACGGGAATTTAGGACTATTGAGGGGTAATTCGTTATTGCGTGCAGGCCCGAGTTTAGCTCAATTGAGGGGGACCAGTCCTAATCACGAGCTCACATCAGGCCACTAATCGGGTTTTTTGATGGCTTTTGGAGTGTCGGCTGAGGAGTCGTCGTGTGGCCCGCCAGTGCAAGCGATGCAACCCCGGCTTTGAGCTCACGCAGCATAAAAGCTGTCGGCCCTATTCCTGCCGCCTGGGAGCTACAAACTGCGAAGAGTGCTTGGAGCAGCCCTTGCGGAGCGGCGGCTTTGATGAAGAGAAGAGGCATAAAGGAATAAAGCTTGCAAGAGCCTGCAAGATCGCATGAAACGCGTGTGGGGACCAAGGTGACGACCAATGTAAGAAATGCTTGCCTGGGTACAGGCCGCCGTCATGGTCATGTTCCAGCGTTTCCATGTCAACATTTCGCCAGGCTTACCCAAGACCTGGCCTGCGTTGCCTACACGTGCAGTACCGGCGAGGGTACGGCTTGCAAAACCTGTGCTCCACTCTCAGAAAGGACTGTTCCGTCTTTGCGCTGCTTCTCCGGACCTTGCGTTGTCATTGTCATTGTCCTCAGGACCCTGGACAACCAGTGCACTTCTTGCAATGCTGGCTACGGGCTGGTTGGTGGCGACTGCAGATCGCTGACTTGTTCGATCGGCAGTGGCTCCAGGTGCAAAACTTGCCGACCTGCAGAGATGCGGACAGCACATGCGCTAACCTCGGTTGCGAGAACCCTCTGTGCATGCGCTTGCGCCACTTGCGCTGAAGCCAGTGTCTCACGGAGCTTCGTCAGGATCAGTGCGCCGAATGCAATCCCGGCTATGGCCTCGACGAGTCTGGCAGCTGCTCCGCCTATGAGTGCAGGACAGGTGCGGCCGACCAATGCAAGACGTGCAAGGCCTTCGAGCTGCGCACTGGCCACAACCAGTGTTCCGAATGCAGCTCCTACTGCACTACAGGTTGCGAAAGACGGTTTGGCCTGCAGAGCTTTCTTGCTTCAAGTTGGAGTTTGAGCTTGTCTGGGAGTTCTTCGACCGGGATAGCAGCAAAGGTAACGAGGGCTACGGGCTCACTCCCAGCTCTCGATGTGCAGCCGAGCAGCTGAAGTGGCTTCCGCGATTCAGTGTGGCTCGCCTGCGCGGTCGCTAGAACCCACAGGGCCGGCAAAGCAAAGAGGGTCATCAAGCAGTGCACTCACGTGCGTCCAGCACGAAAGCTACACCTGTTCCTGAGGCAGTCATGTACACCAAAGAAGCTGTGAAGAAGGTTTTCCGAGAGCTTGACTTGAATGGTGATGGGAAAATCACCGCAGATGAGTTCAGCAAGAAGGAGGTAGATGCAGCTGTTGAAGCAGATGCTTGCCAGCAAAGTCAACAGGTCCAGTCCTTGTGCCTTGAGTTACAAGTCGTTCGCTTTGAGCAGGCACTTGGCAAGCTCGCGATGGACAGGTTCTTCGAATTTCAACACGACCGCAGCCCGGGTGACACGGACCTGGCTGCAATTGATAAGGTCTTCGAGAGGCAGGGGGTTGTGACTGAATCCTTGTGGCTGTGGGAATCAGTGTCGCTAGCAAAGTCCGGGGGATGCCCAAGGTTGGATGCAGATCAAGACGAGCTCTTGTCATTGCCAGAGTTCAATGCCGGCGCCAGAAATCGGGAGGTGAAGGCAAGCGACTTGTTCCAGTCAATTGACTCGGACGGCAATGGCTACTTGGATGCAGCTGGTCACTGAGAGCTGAGAGCCGAAGACGCGTGAAATCGGTGCTGAGGACGCGTGTCTCGGAGCGAGTTCCTGAAAGCGGCACAGGGGCCAGAAGAGCTGCGGACTTTGAACCAAGCCTTCCGACGAGCTGACTCTGACCAGGACGTACACGTTTTGGGTTTCGAGACCAGGCCGGTGCCAAGTTATGACAAGATAGCTGCAGGACGACTTTGTGTCCCAGTCCGAGTTTCTGCGAGATGCGCGTGGCTTGGTTCGAATTGCTTTTGCTCGGATGGTATGAGACATCGGTGGTAGCCAGAAGCTGCAGGTACCCACTATCCTGGCACCTCTGCAGACGACTGGCTCACGAAGTTCGGAAAACTGGACCGTGACGCAGATGGGAAGCTTTCCAGAATAGAGTTTCAAGCTTCGGAAAGTGATGAGCAACTCGCAAAGCCGCGGGCCTCCCTATTTCAATTGAGCGAGCAGCAATGACGATGCTTTGGCTGACGCGCTCCAAAGGAAGCGAGGCGAGATTGCTCTTTTTTGGGGGGTTCGCAGCCTCTGGTCAGTGCTCGCCAGTGCTTGCCCCTTGCAGGCGGTATTGGGCGGTCCGGGGCGGTCCGGCGCCGGGCTGCCCCGCTCAGGTGCTTGGCCCTGTGTCGCACTGAGGCCTCGGAGACTAAGAAGGCGACGAAGTGTGAAAAAAACTCACGCTCAGCCGAGCAAAAAGCCGAAATGCATCTAGACATGTCTAGAGGATGAGCTTGGTTTCTGTGGGAGGATGGTCGTACGTTCTCCCATTGAGTGGTGACCCACTGGTTACCCTAGCACGCTGACCCTAGCACGCTGCTACTTTTCAGTCTCATGCCGTGATGTGTGTTGCAAAGACTGTGCCACGGAGCATGATGATAACTGATAACCGCAGCCACGGGCTGGAGCGGCTGCGCTGCAGTTTGGTGGCCCTGGCTGTCTCAGTGTCCTGCCACGCAGCCAGTGAGGTATGTGTTTGCGTCCGAGATGTGTTTAGCATGCATCAAGAGCTCAGGATCTAGGAGTCTGAGACGCGATGCCAGGAAGAATCCAAGCTGCAATGCTCACAAGACACAAAGGCCTGAATCAAGAAGTTGTGATTTCCAAGGAATTCCGCACAAGAATGTAGAGCGTGATGCCGAAAACGCGGAAGTGGGGAAAGTTGGGCTCACTGAGTCGAGCCCCTTGGTAGAGAAGCCGAAAGAGTTGCCCTTCAGCTGCATTGCATTGCTGCGCATTGCTGGAATGTGAGGGAAGTGATGTCCCCACTCGTGGAGGTCACTCTTGAGAAGTCCTGTGCAATGGTACCGCACACTGTCGCAGAGCTACTCTTGGAAGCTGCTGGCCATGGTAGCGTGCACGAGCCACCTGCTGAAGGCTCACGCACAAGTGGAAGACAGCGCTTGAGCCGGCAGCAAACATGCCCTGCCTGGAAGGGCTTCGTAGCAGGCGGTGGTGATGAAGGTGCGGTTCCTTCTTGCTTGCAGGCAGCGTAGCAAAGCCTCCTGTCCCGCGACACAGGCCTGATCGGGAAACCTGCAGAGTTCCTGTTCAGCGAGCTGGGCATGTCTGCCGGAAGGCTGCAGGCCTTGAAGGCGACGCTGAAGCACGCCTTGTGTTGGAGTAGCTCCAGCTTATTATGGTAGTTCTTCCAAAATTCGGCTGGTGTGGGGGTACTCGAACCATCCCTATGCAAGCATCTCGCCAACAGACCGTCAGACGGAAACGGTGTCTGGGGAACAGACGAGAACATCAAAGGTTTCAAAAGGCCTCTAATCTCAAAGAGTGCTCTTAAAAGTTCCACGTAACAGAGCCCACCACAACCGGGGGGCGGGGGGAGGGGGGGAGGATACCATGGGGAGGGGAGAGGAGGCGTGTGGCAGCCTGCATCGTGCATGCTAGACTCTGCTAGAAGTTGCATGGAATCACTGATGTTCATGATGATGACGAAATGAGATCGAGACCTTTGGTGCCACATGTGCCGGACACAAAAAGTGCCATGCAAAGCAAAGTGAAATGATCCGAAACGCGAACACGTTTCGGCCCCGCGCACCAGACGCAGAGGAATGACACGGCACGAGGATGAGATGGAGAGACGGGGCTTAGGAACACAACGCAGGTGCTCGCCATTGCCTGCGTTTGGATGGGGCTGTTTACTGTTTGCCACCATGACAAATGAGGGAAGTGATTATCTGTGCCGATGCACGAGGAGTGACTGCACGCTCAAACACACACAATGACACACACACACACAACACCCCAACAAGGGGGGAAGTGCGTGCGTTCGTTTCGGGCAAGTAACGGATGGCAGCAAAGCAACACTAGACGCACCTACATAGTGCACGTGCCCTCATGATGCCCTTGGCTTCGTTGAGAAAAGGAGAACGTGAAACGTCCAAGCAGAATACTTGAGGTACGGCCCTGCTTTTGCATTCGCCGAAATTCGCACCTGCAGTCATCTCAGTTTCAGATGCACTTACCTGTTCACTTTATGGTTGCTAGCAGATTTTTTGTCAGAAGTAATGCTGTCTCCAAGAGAAGCCCCAGAAGTGTTAGCACGGGCTGGGCATTTGCAGAGGAAGCGAACCACCTCTGTCCTGCCAGCCAGGCGGTTGCAATCGTGCCATTCGCGCTGAAGCCGGTCATAGCTTTGCTCAGCGATGCTTTCCCGATATGTGGGTACCACAAGCTTCCGTATGTGGTCGAGTGCTCGGACGTGTCCGCAGCACTTGTTCGTACCGGTTGACTCTTCACATGCTCACAGACTGAACCGCTGTGCCTGAGGTGATTTTCACGATCATATCATTCGCTTCGCTGGCATCTCTGGGCTTCGGCTTTGCAGTGACGGAAGTCGCGGTGGTCTCTGCTTTGTTCCTGGCCTTCCTCCAGGTGCGGCGAGGCAGGGCGCAGAGCACAGGTCCCTGAGCCCACGTTGGAGGTTGCCGGTGTAGATGTGCTCATGGCGGCCAAGCAATCTGAAGAGGTGAAGAAGCAGGCATCCCGGCCTCGAAAACGTAGACTTTCTGGACGGGATTGGCAGCTTATTGGGTCAACTGTCTTTCTGTCTGTGTTTCCGTGGGAGACAAATCTTGATCTTCATGAGGCAAGCTTGGGTCCTGACTTCTACACCTACACCTGGCTAGGTATCAATGCAGGAAGCACAGCTCTGTTGTAGAAGTGCATCAGCTCTGGCGGAAGAGAGATCTTGCACGGCAGAGAGATCTTGCACGGCAGGACAGGTCCTCAGCGTTTGCTTCCTTGGGCCTGTAATTGCTGTGATGGGTGCGCGAGCGCCTTATCGCTTTGCCGCACCTCTGGCTCCTCGACAGCATCTCAGCGGTCTAGGCTGAACCTATTGGGCCAAGTGGGCTGAGACTTGCCCTGGTTCCAATCATGGACACATGAGGCGCTTTTGACATGCTGATCATGTCAGGTTCTTGTGGTGTTGTGGCCGGCACTGGGAAACTTCATGGGCGAGAAAAGGGAACTCAGCGGGGCCGGGGGCGGGCTTCCTTGGGTCTTCCGGTTCCTCGGCATGTCTAAAGAGATCTGTGTCAGCGGGTATGTGAGGGTTTGCTGCAGTTGTGGCCTCACCGGGTTTCACTTTGGCAGAGGCAGCATGGTGTGCTTTGCGCCCTTACGTTGATGATCGGCATGCTGGCTTTCGGCCTGGTTGTGCCTTGGACCGGTTGAAGCTACCAGCAAATCATGATCTTTCTGACAGAGCCATTGGAAATCGGTGGCACGAAAAATCAAATGCGACATTGGGAAAACTGGAACCAACATTGGATTTCACTCTCGCGGCGGCAGCGCAGACGAACGTACAAGAAGGTGATCCCGTAATGAGAAATGAAGGCGTGTCTGCGACAACATTAAGGCTCGGAAGTTTTCGCGGCTTTTGCCCGGACATTGACATCAAACTCTGGGGGTTCCAATCTGTGTTGCCAGCTGGGTTTTGGATTGGATCTCGGGGATGCTTTCTGATTTGTCTGCTGTGTAGAATTAGGTTTCAGTTTTTTCTCATGTTTTTTTCGATTGGGTTTGGTGTTTGATTTCTTCCTACGTCAAGTAGATCTGAAAACCATAAATTTGTAACAAAACGAAACATGTCAACACACAAGAATAAACGCGAGTCAACTTGGCAAATAAAAGGGCAACCAGAGGTTGAATGGAACAACGATGGACATGCACCACCAAACGATGGAACATACATGGGAAAAGATTCAGAAACCCAAACCAGACTTTCAATCAATGGAAACAGCCATGCGAGAGGGAAACCAATAGATAAATTTAAGCCAATGACAACATGCTGGACATAGACCCGGCCCAATGAGACACATGGGAGCACGATGGAGCACGAGACGGAAGCACAACTTTTAAAAGTCAGCGCTACAGCGCAGGCAACAGCTCCATAGAGCAAGTGTTTCGTGATTTTACTCCATGTGGTTATGGTATGGTTCGAGTTTGTTTCTGATGTTCTGTTGAATTCTCTCATGCTGTTTCCATCTTATTTGCTTGTTGTGTCGAGCCTGCTGATTTGGATTTTCACTGGTTGTTTCTTTATTTTTTTTCTAGTTTCTGGTTTTCATAGCATCATCAGGCAGCGGGTCATTCCAAAGCTAAAGCAGACCGCCGATGTCATTCCAGTCGTGCCGACACAAAGTGCTTCCCGTGAGGTCTGCACTTTCCTGCTGGATGAGCACCGTTTGGCTCCCATCGCCGCTTGCATGGCGGCCGTGGTGCTCGGCTCCTTCGCGTTGTTCATCAGGCAGGCAAACCAGGCAAACCAGCCACACCAATCTACTGAGATGAGGACCTATCCCTGGCAGGCGGGAGATAGCAGGACCAGTGACTTTCTTCTTCCTGCTGGGCCTGCTCAGTATCAACATCGATGGAGCACTGTTCTACTTCTGAAGCTCGGCTGCATAATGCATGGTGTAGATTCTAGATGCTGACGTGCTGCGTGTCCGCTTCAGGTACTGACAGTCCCATGGAGTTTGCTGAGGGACCGCACTTCACCCCACATTTCTACATCACAGGCCCGTGGTGAAGGGGCAGCTGCTGGGCCTGGTGCAAGACTAACGGCAGGCATTGGTGCGGCATCATTCTTGGGAATCACTGTGGGCTTCGCCACCGGACCAGAGATTTTTCGATCGTGGAGCTACAGGCCTCCTTGCTGCAAAAGATGAAGATAGTGGGAAGGGCTGTGCAATGGCTCGCCTGCTGGCAGTGGCCAGTAGTCAGGAGCATTTGCATGGTTACCCTCGTCTTGCGAGCCTGGAGCTTGGTCGCACACTGAAGACGAAGAGGGAAGCTGTGTGTGTGTGTGTGTGAGCACGGCACGCTTTTGGAACATGTCTGCTCAAATACCTTCTGGTAATGTGCAGCTTTGACGCCGATGTCGTGGCATCGTCTTTCAGCTCTTGTAAGTTATGAGACCAATATATTCCGACGCCCGAAGCGTGAAACCGCAGAAGAAACATGTTACAGCGTGAATCTTTTGACGGGGGAAGCAGAAATTTGTCAGCTCTTTGGTTCCGAGCTGGATGCCGAGTTTGCAACGACTAGGCCAGTGTTGTCTAAAAAACGATAGTGAGAGCGAACGTTGGGCTAGTGGCATAGCGCCTGTGTGCAGCGGAAGTCCCGAACCCCACACGTCTCACAAGCAGGCAAGCGAGCAAGCAAGCGAGCAAGCAAGCAAGCAAGCAAGAGAGAGTTACCCTTCCTGACTTCCTGTACCCTGCTCAAGGAAAGAAAGCAAGCAAGCAAGAGAGACAGTTCGAGAGAGAGAGAGAGAGAGACAGACAAGAATCGTGGTCAGGGTCTTAGAAGGGGTAGTTCCGGGGCTCCAGGTACATCCGGAGGAATGCGGCACACCCTCACCCCGAAAGGGGCCGCGCAGACGCACAGACGCTCGCCATGGGGGGTAGGCGTTGGGGGTCGGGTTTTCCAGAAAACCCATACCCCGAGCAAGCAAGCAAGCAAGAATCGGGGGCCCCATGGCCAGACGGTGTAGCTTTGGTGAAAATGCAGTCTCCGGTTACCGCATGTGAAGATGGGCCGGGACCTCAGTTTGCAGATTAGTGCCTAGGCCTAGGGCCTAGGTGTTTACAAACCTTCCTGACCCAGGTCGGGCAGGCTTAGGGCAGGGTAGGGTGGGTTGGGGCTATGGCGGGAAGGTTGGTATAGATGGAGGGTGATGGGCAGGATCGGGCTCGGTGGGGTAGGCCGCACAGGTGGGAAAGGGTAGGCAGGGTGGGCTAGGGCAGGGTGGTACCCAGGTCGTGGGAAGGGGAGGGGGGAAGGTCGGGCTGGGTTGGGGCAGTGTCCCACCCTGACCCACCTGCCCCACCCTAGGTCGAAATAGCGGGGTCAGTTCACTGAAACAGCGTTTTCAGTCCACCGAAATCCGAAATGGGTTCATTGAATTTGCTGTTGTCCTAGGAGAGGGGCAGAGGCAGGGCCGGGACAGGGGCAGGGGCGGTAGGAAATGGGGCAGGGGCGGGTGGGGCAGGGGAAGGGGCAGGGGCATGCCTGTGTGTATGCATGTGCGTGCGTGCGTGCGTGCGTGCGTGCGTGCGTGCGT